GCCTGAACCCTCAACTGACCCGGGGTTTTCTGCTTGCGGCCTGGGAGATTCCGCTCTTCACCGGCTCCTTGCCCAGGCGCGCCTCATCAAGTGCCCAGATGCCAGCTCTGTCGAGGAGCCCTTCCCTGTATAGGTTGCTGTTCAGAGTCTCGTAGGTCCGAAGGTCCCAAAAAGGGTTCCAAACTTCTTCCGAGCATGGAGGAGCTGGCAATGCTGCGGGCAGAGGCCTCGAGCTTTTGGGCTTCTAGAGGTGAAGGGGTTCTCTAGAGTTGAAACAGAGCAGAAATCTGGGGTTTCGTAGAGTCCGTTTGCCTAGCGAGGGTCCCGTGGCGATGACAAGTTTCACTCCCCAGCTGAGGACTGAACAGAAACAGAAGAAGTACGCAAGATTGCTGAAGCAGGATTAGCCACGACCTATCCACCTCCACAGTCAGGAGCCCATCCAGAATCACAATCTTTCAACAAACGACTGAAGATATATTGGCCTACGAGGTTGCACCGACTCTCCTTTCACAGAATCCCTTGCAACACCTAACACAAGTCTCCAAATCCCTACAAGGCCGCGCAGAAACTTAGGGGAGAAGCTGAAACACCGAATGTCCTGAGCCCCGAAGTATAGTTGACGGGAGCCAACTAGAAACCCCCGAAACCCTAAAACCGCAGCCCGAAGTCCCGAAAGGTAGCTGCACAGATCGCGTCGCTGGAGGAGGCGGCGCACCAAGCTAAAGGCCTCCAGCATTTTGCTGGATGGGAGCTTGCGGGGCTTAGACACCGCTATCGCAGGCGATTGTATCTGGTTGTAGGCATTGTAGGTTTTAGTAGATAAACATGCAGTTCATATTTTCATAGAAACATAGCTGCAAGCGTTAGCACCTGCTAATTGTCATCATGGTCCATTCGCACATGTTTCGGTTCTAGCGGATGTCTGTTGGATTAATGCTTTCACTACAAGGGAAGGCTCTGGGAGGTGTAAAAGTCACCGTTGGCTGCGCGTGCTTGCCTTGTACGAGTCTCTCTTCTGCAAACAGCCTTGGCCCATGGGCTTCTTGAAGTCCCAGAGTTTCGGATCGAAGAAGCTTGAAAGCGCCAACCGACGAGCGCAGGCCTCACGATCGACGAAGACGCCACTGGAGAGCTGCCAAATGGAGCGCTGCCTTTTGACGGGCTGGGGCTTTGCACAAAGGTCGCATCTGAATCGAAGGGATCTCCCGAAGCCGGAGCCCGGTCTCAGCTGAAGCGTGCATGAGAGCTCCATCAAAAGATCGGAAGAAAATCTGTGCAAGGCTCTCGGCTTCATGTGGGTAGAAGTTGGCATTTGTTTTTTGGCTGAGTGGCTTTTGCTGTTGGTCGATTTTCAACAGAATTTCAGATGAGGTTAGCAGAGAGCTGTGCCGTTTTGTCATACTTTGGCAGTGGGGATCGCAGCAGGATTCGAGAGCTCCGACTTCCCGAATCTCGCACCCTGCAGCCTGAAGTTCCGACGTTCTGCCCAGGCCAGGCCCAATTTTCCACAGCACCCATCGCCTGTCACTTGGATGGGGCGTAGGCTGCTTCCGCGTTGGACATGGTATATGCAGATGAAGATCAGTCTGAGGCCATATGTTGTGCCCGCTTGTGTGCATGTCCTCACGTTCGTAAGTATGCACCTCGGTACGTAGACAGTTCCGTATGCGATTCGAGAGGTGGCCCGATTTGAGCACCGGCGGTTCAAGCCCGTGCGATTCGAGCATTACGAGTCTCAAGGTAGGTAGGTAGGTAGGTAGGTAGGTAGGTAGGTAGGTAGGTGGGTAGGTGGGCAGGTGGGTAGGTGCATGCTCATGCATGGATGCAGTGTGTATGATTCCTGAATGAATGTACCTCTGCATTTGGACATTCACCTTCAAAGTCACCCTGAGGAAGGTGCCAGTCCAAAAGACGTTCCAGAAGGATTGTCAGAGCCTGAATCTGTATCTCTTCTATTCTCTTCTTTTCTTTTCGGTCGTACGAGTGACAACATGCAGAGTCTGCGACCTCGAAGATCTTGTTGTCAGGGGCTGATGTCCCCCAGCGCCACTCGGGAATACTCTCAAATAGTGTTCGGTCCAGCAAGATGCAGAACTGTAGTAGCTTGCCTCAGAGGAGCGAGGAGAGTAGCTCTGGTTGAAGTTACACGATTCGCAGAAGTTTGTCTTGCCGAGGACAACTTATATAGCTGATGCCAAATCGCCCTGAAAAGGGAAGTGGATTAGCCCATGTCATCAGACTGAAAAGCTGACATAAGCTGACAGCTCACGGAAGGCAAAATCATCTGCAGGCGCTCTGCTAGCAGACGGCAAGATAGAAGAATCATTCGCCTCATTCGAGACGGTATTCGCTGACGAAAACCATCTCGCACAGAAAAAGCCTTGCCACGTATACGTATCCGAATTCTGAATCTCTGCGATGTTCCGTCGCCAGTACAAGTGTTGAGACGGTCATGCGCTGTGTTCTGCGAGGGAGCAGGATCATCATGAACATCAATAGAGGCCAAGAGCGCCAGTAATCTGTGCGGGTTGGAAGCATAATTCGGGTCTGTAAGCCGTTGTCGCTGAGGAAAGTTGGCCTTCTTGCACTTAGTACGCGAAATCTTGAGTCTGCGGTGGCGTACCTCAGTGACGAACTTACCGCATGTGGCACAGAAAATCCCACCATTGGGAGCACGCTTGAGAAAGTCACCATGAATGCCCGCGATCGTGCACTGGCCAGCAACATGTGGAGCGGGATCTGCAGGAGGGCCCCCATCGCCAGGATGCGAGAAGTCACAGGTGAGATGTTGACGAATGTGAGACTGCCAGATATTAACCAAGATCCGCCGAACGAGTTCATTCAAGCTGGAGCAGAAGACCAGAGTCAGCCTCGGTCATACTAGAACAGGGTTGGGCACGACAAAAGCGAGCCAACAAATGAACAATCGGCCGCCGCAATACTTCACGATGAGAACATTGCCGCGAGACGTGTGCCACGGTCTGTGGGCCGCCCTTGCTGCAATCACAGATCTGACTGGTTTTGTAACGATGTCGGCAGACAAAGTCCTGCGTGCGCAACGGTGACAGTTTCGCCGCAGTGGGACTTCGAATCCTGATCAAGACGACAGAGATAAGACAGAGTATGATCACGAAGGATGCCTTTCTGAATCCCCCGGAAAGTCAGACGATCGCGGGAAGCACGTGTCTTTCTCCAGATTTCGCGCACATGATGAAGCCACAAGTTCATGTTGCGGACGACGAAACATGTTTGTACCAAAACCGCGAAACTCCGGCATAGACTCAACTTGTCGTAGTCATAGTCTCGTCATGTGGCCATCTTTAGTCGTGGCTCGAGGCGAGTGGAAAAGCACGCGAAAAACATCAGACCGTGAACCCGGTCACGATATTACAGAGCATGTTTGTGATCTTCAGCTCCCTTTGACTGTCGGAGCCATTCGCCTCCGCATACTGAGACAGAAAGAGAGCGGACGAAATCCCCAAACTTCACAGCATGGTTGAAAAAGCGGAGCAAAAGAATGCAGTCTTTGCTGCCGCTGAGGGGCTCCCCGCCATTGTGCCACGGCGCGAGGTGCCGGGCTCAGAGAGGCATGTTTCAGGGTTTTCAAAACGGGGAGTGCGATATTGTGCGATGGAGGCGGAGGCTGAGGCAGAGGCGGAGGAGGAGGAGCCAGAGGAGCCAGAGGAGCGGAGGAGGACAAGATTGGAAACACTACCACTACATCGGACGAACTCCTGACCGAGAGCACATTGCTACAAGTGCCTCTTTTTCTGATGGCTGTCCGGAACTGGCACTGCCAATCGCAACTTCTGTGCACCCGACGGGTTTGTTCTTCTGGCTGTGGCGGCCCACTCAGTCCAGGACGCTTGCGATGTTCTTCTTATGGGACCCTGTCTGCCCAAGCCTGCGGATTATTTTGCAAGAAGCCGGGTTTCAGACACTTGCAAGACCCTTCGCCGGATTCCAGGTTTAACCCTGAACCCTAAAGCACGGGAAAAACGAAGGCCCCTGATCCCTGAATCTCCAACGCCGTCGCACCTATTAACCCCAAACCGATTTTTTCGTAAAGGCCCTCTAAACCCTAAACCCTAAACCCCAAACCCTGTGGGCCCCATACTGGGCGAGCTTCGCGCGGATGGAGAAAGAGGCTATTGCACTTACAAAAAACCCTAAACCGTAAGGCCCTATAAACCCTAAAACATCCTAACACCAGGTGGCAAGAAGGGCGGCAAGAAAGGCCTCGGCCTGAACGTGAAGGTCAACGAGGCGGCACCTTGAGAAAGGTTTGGGCCAAGGCGGCTCCGTGTTGTCTTAGGGCTTTTTGTACGGCTTTAGGTTTATGAAGGGCTTCAAACGGCTAACCCTAAAACCCTAAACCCTANNCCTAAACCCTAAACCGTGTTCGGGGGGCCATGTGAATCCCAAGGAAGAGTGTAGGTTGTGGCTGTTGGCTTTGCGCAGGGCAAGCAGCAAGTTGCTGAGCAAGAAGTTGAGCCAGACCCTGTCGGGAGCTTAGCCCTTACACAGAGGCTTGCCAGATTTTTGGAGGTGCTTGTTGGGAGCTGGTGAGTCATACCAGGGCTCCAGAGAACTCGCGGTGGCGTCCCTTCCCCTTCTTGTGGGTGCAAGGTCGCTTCGGAAGGGTGTTTGACATCAGGAGCACCGGAAGCTTGTGCTTCTGCTACCAGTGCAGTCTGTGTGTGATACGCTCTTTCCAGACTTGATTTTAATTAGCTTCTCGATTTTCCGGGGCTTTGTGGCGAGGCTCACACCGATGGGCCTGTAGGGCCGGACCGTCGGAAAAGAACGGAGGAAGGGAGCGCGCCCGGCGCCCGGCCCGCTGTCTTTGAACGGGCTCTCGAGCGTTTGAGGCATCTTCGGAGGGGTGACAGGGTTTGGCATTCGGTGCCGGAATTTGGACCCCGACAGTTCGGTCGGATTCCTTTTTGGCAGAGCAAGGGCTTCAAACAAGTGATGCTGTTGTTGTTGTTGTTGTT